TCGACCTGGTGAGGCTCTTGACGTGGGAGATCGCTCGTGTTACGGATGGCATCGGCCAAGTGAGGTTGGCAATTGAGACGACATGAATCACATCGCTGAATTTGTTCAATTGCACGCCGAAGGTTGGTTTCTAGATGCTTAACTTTGGTTTCAAGATCCGTGATTTGGGGATCGCGAGGCATTGTTGTGATGTTTTGGAAAGGCTTCGATGAAGGTCGAGGTTCGATGACAAAAGTGGACAAGCCTAATTGTTGGAGCTAATCCTAGTTTGTAAAACTTTATTCTTTAAAAAAAAGTTTTACAAACTAGGATTAGCTCCAAAAATGACAGGGGCAGAAGTAGTTGGGCAACGAATCATGCGTCTCAGTCACATTTGTTAGTTGAAGACTGACGACGTACGATGTTGGTTTCAACCAGAATTAATCTTGTCCCCTTAGTAGAGCATCTACTGTCTCGGGAAGCTCTCTGAAGAAACCCTGTATGAATAAGAAAGTAATCGATGTGATATTGGTCTGACGAGCTGTGTCAAGCAAGCCATGTGCTCCAACATGGAGATCCAATTCATGTATATGAATAAGGTCGGTATAAGTCTCTGCCTTCTTCATCTCATTCATACCTTCACCGGTTCAGCTTCACCGCTGTTCTTAACTCTCAGTGTCACCTTCATTCTTCACCGGTCCCTTTCCTGCATGCTTTCACTTCGGTGAGCGTTTCCAGGCAGACACGGCCCTCCGTCTATCATTTCCTCCTCGACATGTCGGCCCTGCAAGTTTTTGTGGTCGCTATCGCCGCCTTGTGTTTGAGTACGGCTGAATTCGCCATAAGTGCCGTCCGGCTGTGGGGAAAACGTACCGATCTTAGCCACCGCTGGCAGTTGCTATTTCAACCAGTTCTGTCAGCCGTCCTCATCATCCTTGCCACGCTACTGTTTCTTTACACAGGAAATGAGGCTGCTGTTCCAATATTACTCGTTTCCGTCATTAGCGTAGGGGGTATCTGTCAGGTATCACAAACGCAAATTATCAAAAAATAACTCTGCTAACCTGTTTAGGTTTCACATCTAAGTGCGTGGTATGATGCATGTTCGAAGTCAGATCCGAGAGTGTGGTATACGTTATGGGTAATAGGACCTACATTTGTCTGTTTTGTTATCGAGCTTGGGCTTTCCGTGGCCACAGGTTTTATGCTAAACACTGAACTTCAAAAAACTATTGACTACGCAATTCTCTCCTTTTTTTTGGTCGAATACTTCCAGATGGTTTTGGTATATCTAATTATTTACCGCCAACGGGAACAACCTCTCAGCTCAGATCCAGATCTTGCAAAAAAAGTAACTGCAGACCTTCTCTGGAATATAGCTGTCTGTTTCATCATCACTGTCACTACGTCGTTTTCATTGGCTTTATACAGCCACTGCATCATTGACCGAACTGCAACTTACTTGGTACGTGAGACAACCAATACTTCTTGCAGTATTATTAACTTTGCTGGTAGATAGTTGTTTCGGCAAGCCTCATGCGGACGACCAGTCCGATTTGGAAAAAGTGCTCAAGCCTCATTCGGAGAAAGAGAGAGACAATTGGCTTTCGCAGGAGATAATGCGCCCTAGTTGCCACCTACAAGCGCAGGCACATTGTACTTTTAGAACCGCCTCGAAAATATGACTCGCCTCTATGGCGCCATTTGTTGGTCTGCCTTGAATACTCCACTGTGACAACCTTCGGCCCCCTTCCGCCTCACTATATTACTTGGTAGTTGATCATCTCCTAGAGACCCAAGAGATATATATTGGCATATATTCCCGTAAAACAGACTCGCCACCTCTCCTCCAAAACAATATTCATATCACTCCATTATGTCTTACTCTATCGGTCCACCTAAAAGGTCAGAACTTCCATCCAACGCTCTGCGCCCCGACGATGAAGATGTCATACAACCATACTTCGACAAGGAGCACAAGAATCCGTTCGTGTATCTCCCTCGGTGGGTTATACATACTCCGGCTTGCGCCGAAGCGTTTCGTGATACAAATAAAGGAAATATGTACTGGGACGCTGTCTGGCTACGTATCTTAATGGTGGACTGCCTGCACAAAAATGGTATGTTCATTATTTCTTTGATATTGTGCACCGTGCTAAGTAAATCCAATAGACGATTCTGTTCTTCACACAATCAAGGACGCTGCAACAGAAAGTTTAGAAGGTGCCATGAAGCATTCCCTTGCCTTAGCAGATCGACTTCCGTTTGTTTGCAACGATGTGGAGGATTATCTGGTAAAGGAATGGAGATGGAAATCTGCCCTTCTCCACGAGAAATGTGTTAATGTATACATGAAATGCCATGACTTGAGAGATTGGAAGACAACCCCTCTCTACCATGGGGTTCATTTTTTTTATGAACACAGGAACATACACTCCATTAGAGAGGGCGATCATTGGGTCCAATTTCCTGTCCCTGATGATGACGATATCTGTGCACGCTTCGTTATTATTGAGGAGCATATGAACAAGGAGGAAGAAAATACGGCCGAGGATTATGTAGAAGTTTAAAGACGCTGAATATTTTAGAGATGGCTTGCGAATCTATGTTGTGCACAAATTGTTAGGCACTTGTGATAAAATTCCCGTTGTATATCTATATTACCCAATAGTTGGCGTTGTGTCATCATCTTCAAACGATGTCTCCGACTTTTTATATAGGTGTATTATCCAATTAACCAGTTCCTTTCTCCAACATCTCTCTACACCATTCGCGCTCACGGCTGCATGTCCTCGTTTGCTGCTAGGTATTGGCGTGGCGGCAGGGGGGATCTGATTGGGGAGGGATGGCGAAGACTAGTAGGGGAGGGGGGGTGCCTCTGGAGGGTGCGGTTTTCTTCTATATAGAGAGCATCCTCCTTCCGCCTTAGACGGCAAAATGCTTGGTTTATACTTTACTACATTACACCAGAGTGGGTTTACCCCTTTATCATTTGACAACAGACAGACATATAGACGCTTTCTACCAAGGTAGTCACGACAGACCAGTGAAGAGGTTTCTCGAGCAAAAGAGAGTCATTCTCGCTGCCATCACTGCTATTCGCAGCCTTGCTTTTGCCAGTAAGTCGTTGAGGCCTAAGACTCGCGCCGCCCATTCTCACATCGTAGCATGATGTCTCTAACATTCCGTCAGACTAGCTCTCATCCTATCAACCCTATTCGGCCTTATTTCCCTCGACGAGAGACCAGTTGGCATACTATACGATCCGTACCTATCCCTCCAACCCAAACCGGCGGCTGCCGCCATGCCCGCAACGCTGATGACCGAGCCGGCGCCGATGGACATAGTAAGCATCACGGGAATCTAGCTATAATGAACCGAGCATAACGCGCTACAGGGCATCAACGTCGCCCTAAACAAATACTGCGGTATCGAATCCGCCGCCTTTGCCCTCGCCGTAATCCACCCAGATGGCCAGATCTCTACCTTCGTTTCCGACGACATGAAGACGGACCCCAAATCCCTCTTCACGCCTGAATTTCAGAATGAGCTCCTCATGGGTTCCGGCCGCCAGCCATTGCGTACGTCCTAGCCACTCAAACACCACTGCCACCACTAACTCGTCGCGCCAGGTCACAATATGCTCAATTGCGAATTCAGTGCAGAGGGGACGGAGATGCAAAGCCAGACCTGCAACAACGCCCGCTGCCGCGGCCAAATCAACGCATCGGTTCGGAATCGTCTCTCTGCCCCCTCCAACAGTGCCAACAATGACGACTACTCCACCGACTCGTCTAGGAGCCCAGGGGGTCGCAAGCGCATCCGCGCTGCCGTCCCTGCCACCCATACCCTTCCCACCCGCACAATCTCCATCGGCGACGACGCCGCCCGCGACGATGTCTACCGCCAGTGCCTCAAGGATATACAACAGAATGGGTGCAAGGTCCTTGGAAAGGCATGGGTCAAGCTCCTCGAGCCAAAGAAGCAGCGTACGTACCCATACACTAAGGGTGCGTCGAAGAGGCCTCCGTGGTGGCCCGCAATGACGGGACCAAACAAGATCAGGCATAAGGAGCCAGATCACTTGCACAAGCGCGGTATGTTACCCCTTCTCCAGTTTGAAATGGACTCGAACTAATATAATATCTAGAGCGCATCATCCTTCTCATGCACATCCTCGGCCTCGTCGTAAACCAAGATTCTAAGAGCCAGGCCCGCCTACGCGGTGTCACCGTCGCAAAGCTTGAGGAAGTCACCCGCGAAGCCATGGCCACCTGGTTCGCCGACCGCGAAAAGCCTAAGAACGCCGAGAAGCGCCCCTTCCTCACCCAGCTCTTCCAAGTCCTCTACAGCGAAGAGCGCTATCGCCGCGGCGAGCTCGACGGCTCCACAACCGTGTGCGTCAACGACGGCGCCGGAGTACCAGACGAGGAGGAGGACGACGACGCCGATTATGAGGATGAGGGTTCCGACATCTCGCCACAGCTCTACCAAGCACAACCCATCCTCCCTACCCCTCTATCCTCGCTCTCCCCATTGCATACAATCACAAGCACCACCACTGCCAGAGAGGACTACCAACACACCACCTATCCTGCTTGCGCCTGGACCACACAGGAAATGAACACCTATAACAGCTCCGCCTGGCCCGCATTACCAGCGGCGCCATCAGGACCAATGCAGCAGCAATGGCATGGCTCAGTGTTTGATGGAGTCCCGAAGACGGGTTTTGGGGGCGCGGGTGGTGATGGATGGAGTCTGACAATTACTCCCCCCACAGGCGAAAAAGCAAAGCGCGACGCAGAAAACCAGCTCCACGCAGGCAACTCCTACACTATACCAGATAGACACATTGCTGACAATAGTTTCAGCAGAAAGAGGCCAAAACCTATGGGAAACCGGTTCGGTTCTTACCCTACGACCGGGCATACAAGCCCAAGCGTCAATCTGTGGCATGCAGCCTCTGCCGCAAGCGCAAGTTGAAATGCACCGGTACGACCCCTTGCCACCGATGCATATCCAGCAATGAGACATGCACCTACGAGCGCTGTATGGGGCGACAACTGCGTCCTGGGCCGGCGCAGCAGGAGGATGCTGTCACATCGATCCTTTTGTCCTCCTCGCCGCATAACAGTTACGCCTCTGACGACTACGAGATGGGTTGGGAGGCCCCGCTACTGCTCAGCAAACAAAGCGGAGAGTTGACAGGCGCAATAGCGATATTAAGCACCGACAGCCTCTCTAGCGGCAAAGAGGTGATCTCCTCCTTAGAACCACTCTCTGCCGCCCTTTCCCCCGCTACAAAAGAAATGTCGACGATGATGCGTCCATCGCAACATCCGGCACATCCAGCTCCAGCGTTAAGCCAAGAGCAACAAGCTATGTTGAGTGTACGTTTCCTCCTCATTGCGAGAAATTCAACACAACACTAACAATATTTTCAACAGACAAACTGCTTCTGGTGCATCACCTACAAGCCCAGCGGAGAGAAATGCACCAACGGCAGCGGCTCGGGCGACCATAGGATGGGCTTGGAGCCACCCCCCCATCTTGGCAATCAAAATGAAGAATTGGCGGAAACGATATCGAGCATCTACAGCCTCTCTGGCGACAAAGAGGCGGTTTCCTTGGAACGACACTCTACCGCCGTTTCTGCCACCGTACCAGAAACCCTAAAGTACAACACCTCCCAAACCCCTACAGTCGAAATAAGCACGAACCTTCATAATTTGGTAGGGTCTTTCTGCATCCAGGAAGGATACGGTGAGCCCATCACTAACGGCGACAAATTTTCAATACATTATGCCCTCTTCAAGTCCTCTGAATTTGAAGCCTACTTTAGCACATATGATAGGGGAACTTTAGATGCTGTTGCTCAGCTGAAATATGATCCCCTTCTATGGATGTTGGAAGATGTGCTTGGGAAAAAGCTAGGAGACAAATATTTGTATGAGACGCATAGCGGCATCAAGTGGTTAGTCTTCCATAGTCATCGTTGGTCTTCGTATAACTAACTACAATGCAGTTTGGTTGAGATTGTCAGAGTTAATGGTATATGGATGAATTGGCAGGCTGAGGAGGCGCAAGCACAGGACAGCAAGAGTTTCACACCCAACGAGGCCTTGCCAGACAAATGGGACAGCCACTCAATGCGCTCCTTGTCTTGCGCGGACGGCGAAAGCAAATCAGAAGGCGAGGATAGTAGAAGCGGATCTGGAGGCGGCGTAGGTGCTGGCGGTGCAGGCGCAAGTACAGGTGCGAGCACTACAGGGTGTGATAAGGTGTTCTTTGAAAAATGGTATCTAAAGGAGCATAAGCGTACTCATTTAAGTATAAAACCATATGTAAGTTTCTTTTACTTCGTTTTCCTTGCATCCACCCCTTCTCTTATCACACTTTTAACCCACCCCAGCTCCTATAATACCTCATAAAAAAACAGACACTAACAATCCTCCTAACAGCCTTGCCCCTACCCTGGTTGCACGCGCCGCTTTACCCAGGCTGGTAATGGACGGCGTCATCTAAAGAATGTTCATGGGATTAGGGCTGAGACATGGCGTCGGCGGGTACCGAAACCATATGTACGTCCCCTTTACTTCTTCTTCCTTGCTTTCCCCAGTTTTTCTTACGGTTTTAACCTACACTACCTCCTATAATACCTAATAAAAAAACAGACACTAACAATCCTCCTAACAGCCTTGCCCCTACCCTGGTTGCACGCGCCGCTTTACCCAGGCTGGTAATGGACGGCGTCATCTAAAGAATGTTCATGGGATTAGGGCTGAGACATGGCGTCGGCGGGTACCGAAACCATATGTACGTCCCCTTTACTTCTTCTTCCTTGCTTTCCCCATTTTTTCTTACGGTTTTAACCTACGCTACCCCCTATAACACCTACTAAAAGAACGGATACCTAACAATCCTCCAAACAGTACTGCCCCCAGCTAGGCTGCACACGCTCCTTTTCCCGGGCTGACAGTACTAAGCGTCACATAAAAAGTGCTCATAGGCGGACAAATCGCGTGGAATCAGGTACGGGCGTGCAACCTCCATCGTAAGCGCAAGAGGAAATGCCGTTCATTTCTAGAAGGTGTTTGAAGCTATCGGCGACGGCACCCACAGGGCAGACCTGGGCAATGGCCACGAGTGCGGGCCCGTAGCTGTCAACGTTACTCCATCAAACTGCCGCTTCGTCCTCCTCATCCAACTGCAACTCTACTCCCAACACTCAATCATACCTATCTTCGCCCCGACAACGAAAAGCCCATACAAATCCACGTTGACAAGGAGCTCAAGAGAGTATGGATATATCTCTCTCAGTCCGTGAAGAGGTGTGCTGTCTGCGAACGAATATGCTGGACAACAAGTCATCCATTCCGGTTGATTGCTTTCATTATAAACGGCTCCATGCCCAACGCCAACGACAAGGCCAAGCCGCGAAGAAGGAGCCGCGGCTTGGCCTTGTCGCAACCTGCGACTCATGTTCGGCCAGTAAGACCAAGGTATGTACCACAACTCCCATATCCCATTAACAACCCGCTAATCCCCCCCTTAGTGTAGGAAAGATGAGGAAGATGGCCAATCCTCCTCGAGATGCGCCTATCGCGAGACCATGGGAGCTCAAGTTAAGATCCAAGGAATGGAAACAAACACTGGCAAAGGAGAAGCTTCGCTCCCTTTTACCATTCCCAGCAACTACCATATGGGCCCTTGCATATATGGTCTCCACGAATGTGTCGGCACAGCAAGAGGTCACCTTGAAGCTAACGCCAGAATCCATAAAGGTCTTGATTGAATACCATAAGGAATTAGAGAAGGAGATATTCAATAAGCCACATACGCAATCCGCCACGGCAGCTAACAGCTATGTTCACAGGGCTAGCATATATTAGAAGACGGTGACGGGTGAACTTTTGTGCGGGGCTTCTGAGAGGTTGTTAGACTCACATTCACGCTGTAGTGGCCTAGCTTTTAAAGTGCTTGCAATATAGAATACCAACTCTTAATCTTGACTCTTCATAAATGATTGTACGAAGGAACCTTTGGGATTGATCTAGACTCTACCTTATCGTCGTCCTTCAAGTTCTTGAGCCACTTAACTCCCCGCGTACGCCGCACCCCAATCCGTCCGTCCCTCTCGCTGTCGCGAGCTGGCCTCAGACACCTCACCCTAATAGGGTCCTGTTCAGGGTATCTCGTGCCCCCTTTTGGTCATGTCTCGCCCGGGACGCGACGGCGTCGATGAGTCTGGTTGCACTGGCCTGGCGCGCGTGGTTATGATTGGGGGAACGTGGGGGGTCCGAAGGCTGGTGATGAGCGGGGGTGGTGGGGGGTGGTCGTCGCTGGGAGAGCTGGGGTGGGGACCATGTCATTATCATCGTGGGCTATCTTCGCTGCTATAAGAATCCTGCTTACCCTCATTTCTCGGAGAAGAACCCAGCAAAGCCAGGTTCTTATTTGCACCGACTATACTGATATAAAACCTGGAAACTTATCATTGCCACAAAGCCGCCTCACACACTTACCCGAACCACTGGCTAAATTTTACCGCTGCTCTTCTTTGCCTTGCCTAATTATTCCCTATTGCCATGGCCGACTCGACACCCGCAACAGAACTTCAGCGCATGCTGCGTCGTGACTCGCCTGGCCGCAATGACACCACTAATGATATGCCATCATCCGCTGCCTCCAAAGTTGCCTCCGACGTTCTCTCCGACGTTGGACTTCTCGTTTCGATTCCAAAAACAGTCCAGGCTGGTGTTGCTCTACCAATCGTAGTTGAATTGGGTTGCTATGGTTTGGACCGCCGAGATCTCCGCGCCATAGCAACACTACTTAGCTACACCGGTGAGGGCAAGCTTGACGGAAACACAGTTGAGACTGGGCAACGTGTCTCACCCATCAAGATGAAGTTTTGCTTTACTCTGACTATTACAAATCCTGGCACTTACTGTGTTAGGATACGTCTGGAGGAAACGCTATTTGGCAGCAGCTATGGGCAAATTGACAGTGAAGATATCACTGTTACTAAAGTCCAAAATTCAAGGCTGAGAGACTCTAATGCGACATTAGATGATGGGCTTGCTTCAGACGTGGAGGAAACAACCGAGACAAATAGGATGGTGAATATAGTGTATGTTAATCAGCTCCTTTGCCATTTCCCCTGCTTATACAATATAGGAATGATAGTAACCTTCAACCCGTATCTACGCCTGACGAAACGGCTGAGAAAGAGGGCTTGTCTCCTCCCCCACCCCGCAAGGAACCTAGATCCATGACTCAAATTCCGAGTGCGATTTACTCTAGACAAAGTCTTGACATACTGCAAAGGTTATGGGGTGCACGACTATGCGCGGGAATGAAAGATGAGGCTGTGCAAGGTGCTTTCAAAAAGGTCCATGGCCAGATGCCTCCTAAACATCACGAACTGCTATGCCGCGTCGCATGGCTATTTCAAGCTAACAAAATGAAGATTCTGTCACCCCCATGGGAGGCGTTTTACAAATTTGCTTTTGGGCAAGGTTCCGAGATTGAGAAAGGCTGTGTCTTTGGCCAATTGACAGAAAATTGGAATTCTATATCAAACGGCAGGAGAACCAAGGAAAAGATCACTACTGATTGGCAATACATGTTTGTCAGTGTTTCTTCTTGTACCCCTAACTAACAAAATATAGCTGACAATGACCCGTCTAGTTTGCAACTGGTGAATTTCTCAAGGAAAGACTACGGGAAATTGGTTACCGTTTATGCATTTGCGGTGATTCGCAGCCTCATTCTGCTCCCCAGAAATTTCTCTCCGATTCAGAGGAGAACAGGGTTGAAGAAAGGATAAAGCAAGCCGTCTTTGCTTGTACAGCTTTGATAGTTTTTGATTCTAGAATCAAGGTAAGGCATGCTGAGGGAGGCACGAGGGCGTACCGCTGATTTTACGTTTAGGATGGCGAAACCTCACAACATACATGCAAGGACTCTCACAAAGCTGTCCGCAAAGCTATACGAGGTTTTGAGGATGCTAAAGGGCTCTCAAATGAAATTCAGGACGATTTAAGAAACATCAATGCATACCTGAACAGCTGTGGTGTTAGTTCATTAGATTTAGAGGCGTCGAAGATCTCGGACTGACTGAATAATTCTTCGGAGTCATTTATGGAGAAGCTTTGTATATGAACTTCGGGAAGTTTGCAAATTAGAGCGTGCCGCCAGCTCATTGCCAACTATGCAAAGGAACCCAAGGGCGTGAGAACGACAAAGACGGAATTGACAATTAGCGCAAATAGCCACTACAATATTACATTATGCATCATGCTGTTGGACATCATGCTGTTGGACATGGAACCATCTGAAAACAAGAGCTCTTGATACTGCTCGTGACCTTGACCGTTGGCTAAATATCACTGCCTCTACCACCCACTCCTCCCTCAGAATTGATGGAATTGAAAATGCTCGTTTGATAAGTAACACAGCATTAATGTCGGGATTTGCCGAAGGTCACGCAGTATAAACACTGTCAATATCCTACCCAATGTGACGCTTCTTTTCAGTAAAAAGTACCATTCCCACCATCCCCATTAAACGTTAGCATTACATCGACTCGATTTCCCACAAGAAAACTAGCATCCTCACAGTTACAACTCAAGACCTTCACCTTAAACTATGTCTACACAGCTATCAACTCAGAATGGCGACAGGAGGTCCCAGCGGAAGGCGGATGCGGCTGGCACGCATCAGAATCAATATAATGTTCAGGCGAGGCATCGTGGTATATATTCAATCTTTAATACTAAAGATATGCCGCTGATAAAACACTCTGCAGCCCGCTTTGTTGCGGATCTCTCCTCCGCTCAGCGTGACCGCAAACGAAAGAACGATCGAGATGCCCAACGTGTGCATCGGCAACGGACTAAGGAACATATCGAAAAACTTGAGCAGCGGGTTCAAGAGCTAGAGTCTTTGCTGGCGGCGAAGAATGCTGCCGACAACAACAATGTCGGCTCCGGCATGCCAATGGATTTAGACCAAAATATGGGTGCTGACACGACGAATACGAAGCGGCAGGTATACACTGATAACAATATGGTGGGTCCGTTTGGGAATGAAACGTCGACGGGAGATATCCATAACATCGGCGAGGAAGGCGGTTATGGATACGGTCCTTTCAGCAATCACACCACGCAGCAGCCATGGGGACCCTTGGCCTCGGGCAATCTATATACAACCTATTTGGAGAACAGCTTTCATGAGGAACTGTCCATGGTTGGGCAACCTCTCAAATACCGTCGCCTGATGCGGAAGAACGAGACTCATGTTGCCAAGATTTGCACGGCGAGAGGGGCAACTAAGCGTGATATTGCAAAGAGTAATTTTGAGAAATGATACTATAGTAGCAGCCAATTTTAGCAACTCAAATAAATTTTGATAACCGCAACTTACACAGAGTTTGAGGGGCTGTATCCGTAGTTATGCATCACCTAAATCCACACCTAAATTTGAGCGAGTTTAATCACCAGGATAAAAAGTTATTTCCACTTTCCAAAAACGCCAACTCTTTCAAAGGACGAGGCTCAACTCACGGATAACTGCTATGCAGCTATCCGTGAGTTGAGCCGCTGCGTGCCGCCTAGCCCTGCAATTCCGCAAACTCCAGAGGGTCTTACAGAAGACAGCACTGTCTTTGATGCCAAAACCCACCATAGGAAGATTATCTATGACCGCTGGCACCTTCCATCATTGCCTTCACTACTGTAGCGGCACGCGCTAACTGGCAACACTTCCACGACACCAAAGACCTATCCACTTTCGCAGAAGCGCTACGAGAGAAGATAGTCAAACCTCCAGGGGAAGACTCAGTCATGCCATGCCATGGGTTTCTTTCCCAGTGTTCCATTGGTTTGCCAACCCAGGATTCCATCTAGGTGATGCACATGATAATCCTGTATGGGCCATTGCCATTTGACCATCAACAGAGTTTGCAAAAGGGAAAGACATTTTCATCTATGACTGCAACACAAATATCAAACAGAAGGATGAGAGGGTCAACACAACGAAATTATATAAACCGGACCCCTTATGATGGAAATAAAGGCGACGGAATCTGTATCAAGCTCACTGGCAACTGGATTAGGAGGATGACCGCCACTACAACTAGTTGCCTCCCACTCACAGCAACAGAGGCAGCGGAACAAGGTTGGTTTAAGATGGAGTGGAAGAACAAGCCAAAGACAAAGGTCCAGGAAGCAGAGAAGCTTCGGAAGGTGACAATCAGGCTCAACTCAGCTGCACTTGCTAGCAGGAATTTGAGACGCAGAGGGCTACGGAGGCACGGAGGGGAATACGCTTTTTGCTAAGCTTCTTTGCCTCAACTCTTCTAAGACGTGCTAATTCCACATCCATCTTTGTTTTCGCAGCTTTGACAAGGGCCGCGCTTGCCGCGCTCTGCTTAAGGTCCTGCCATTCCTGGCGAAGCTCAATGTATTTAGGGTGTTCCCTGAGCTTCTGATGCAGGTCCGTACCGCGGAGGTCGCATGGTGCGCCTGGGAAGTGTTCAGCAGCTAAGCTGCGCAACGGCCGTAGACGATCAGTCTTTGCAGTTCTTTTATGGAACAGGCTTTGTAAGTCAACACCGACATGTTTGTTGACATAGCGTGCTTGCAACACCTTGGGATTCTTATGACCCATCAAGATGCCTGTTTCTGCCCATGTTGCGGACTCTGCGACAAGGTTAGCGTACGTTCCGGCCTCGGTGTCAAATTACATACTTTCTAGAATATTTGCAGCTCCGCGCCTAATAGCGTATGAAGTTACTTGGCATCTATATCCTGCACGGTATGCAAGCTCTGTCAAGGCGCGGTAAGAAGCAGCGTATGTCCATGCAGCCGTCCTGTCCGCTGCTCGAAAAAGGGGCATATCTAAGACCTCATCTTTAAGAGGGACTTCAACAACGCTACGATCTAACGTAGCGCAAAAAAGCTCTTCTGGCTTAATATCAAATGCGTCGTGTTCGTATGCTAAGGTAAGAAATGGCATAATTGGGCATAAGTGTGGATAGACCCGGTCCTCCCAGAGCGTTATTGTCACACTAAGCTATGTCAGCTCCGTTAAGATAGCCTATGGTCTATAGATACCTACAATTCATCCTCCTCATCTCTGTCCCCCTTCATAAGTTTGAAGGTAATTGTGAGGCTCATCTGAGGTGGACCGCCTTCGACATCCTGAGTGAGGTGGAATTTCAAATCCTCAAATGAGTTAGCAAACGCATGAAGTAAACGCTAGATATATACTAACTCTGTAAGTTATAGCTTCATTGCTGTTTCGATATGAATCTGATACGACGACCGCACCTGGCCGGGCTACAGTGTATGCAAGGCATAGAAGAAAGAACTGCAGCTTAACGCGGTCGAGTTGGTTTCGGTAACTGTGCTTGTCCTGTACCCACAAGTAACGAATAAGCACTTCGAGATCTTGCGAGTCCGCCATTGGCTTCGGGCGGGCCTTGCTACTGAGAGCGAGCAAAACTTTCAAGTCTGACTTAATCCACTATCCTTGTATTAGCTTCTTTGCTACTATATAAGGACAACAACAGGTATCATCTTACATCTTTCACTTCCTTGACTACCCTCTGTGGAATCTCAATATCGTGTTCATGCTTGTACGCTGTTGCAAGGCGTGTAACGTATGGGCATAAGGTGTTGAGGGAGAGATGTGGGCCTAGCATCCCTTTATGCTCGATTGCTAACATTTTGAAGAAGCTCTTCATGCAACCTGCGCTTGGGACCGGCGCTGGCTGGTCAATACGCAATGCAAAGTGTTGCCATAGCGAGAGGATAGAAGTGTATCCTCTCTTTGTTGGAGGGGCAACTTTTGGTGGACGTTTCTTCGTTGATCGCTGCTGCTCGATATCTGCCAGTAGTTCATCCTTTGAGAGCTTCATAATCACTGTTCTCTTCAAAGATTGAGAGACAAGCAAAGAAGTTACGCGTAAAAAGCGAAACAAGAGCAAGAAAAAGATGAGATGCTGCTAAGCAACGGCGCTGTGCGAGAGATAGGAACTTAATTCCAGCTCAAGCCCTACTCACCACCACCCTGTCAGTAATTCTTTATATACTTTGATAAAATATGGTTATATAGAAATACAATCTGCTTTAGAAACGGTTAGAAATGGGTATTAGGAAGAGCGGCGTCAATATAAAGTGTAGCATTAGATGTTGGCCTTGACCGATGTTCTAAATCTCTCATTACAGAGTTATAGTTGAGGCATATTTTCAGGTTTCTGATATTTTACAATGCTATTAGGCTCCCAAATTCCTGTAAAGGCATGACGGAAAACCCCGATGGGAAAAACGTATGCAGAGCCTAGGAATGTCTCTATGAGCTATCGTCACTCTCGCGCCAAGACGACCACCAAAACCGTCCCCTGCTCTCGGCGTTCCGCATCCCTGTTCCTGCATCCTGTGTCCGCAATGACGACAGCGGCTTTATGGAAACGGGGTGCAGTTGGTCAAAGCGCTGCATCCTCTGTCTCCATTCTGATATATGCTCTCAAAAAACCGCATCCTGTGTCTTTAATCCAGGTAACAGCTTTATAGAAATGGGGGCTGCCGTGTGGCCTAGAGGTTATGTAACCTCCTGGCAAAAGCAAAAAAAATATAAAGTACTCGTGCGCTTTGAACAACTTCACCGGTTTTACTGCGCTTATTGAAGCTAAAATCATACAAAAACCTCAACATGTTGGATACCAAAGCTAACAATTGGGCTGGTCCCAAGGTAGTGGCGAAACTTGAGGGGTTAGAAGGTAATAGCATTAGTCGATCTACCGATCTACCGATCTGTCAATCTCTTAGCGCCTTTTGAGTCCAGAAACAGTATCTAGGACAGTAACAATTCTAGGACAACAATCGCGACCGATTAATGATGCCGGAATACTTTAGTCATTTCCTACTGTGTCTAATGAAGCTAGCTGTTTTGAGTCCGCAAACAGATTTTGGCTATAACACTTCGGACAAAATGTGACGTTTCGAGTCCATTACGATTTCAGCAATCTGAATATAAAATGCGTGGTTAATTCCCGCTATAACACTTCCTAGCATTAGTTCACAGGTCATCTTATAATTCCTCGGATCAATTCACAGACTATATTTATAGTTAACCCTTGCATCCTCCTTCAGTTGGGCTCTTGCCAGGTAGGCCGATCGGTTACCCCGGGGGTGTTCGCATTGCCGGGTATCGCACCAGTATTACAACAGTAGGAAAACCGGGTTTTCTTTTCGCAGAAAAACCTCCCCGAAATTAATTAGTAGGCTTGGAGAAGCTCAAGATGACAACGATCGAGCGCCGGGAAGTAGACTCTAGCGCCAGCTTAAGTGAGACACAGATCATTTCGTTGAAAACATGCACACATAGAGCAGAAACAACTCGAGGCCAGTTTATAAAGTACATTCACCGTCATATTAGCTAACGATAACTTCCCGTCATGCTCAGCATCAGACGAGAACACCAACAGCGATCCAAGCATTGCGGACAATGACTGTTGCACCAGTACCGAACAACTTGTTCGCCTGATCAACCGTCACGTCTGCCCACTGTTTGAAAGTGGCAGTTTTGGCAATTGCCTCGATGCGGCTGTCGGTCAAAGTGGCATACCAGATTTTTCCAGCCTTATCATATGCATAGCCACCGAAGCCAATGGCAGCTAGGTAGAACGCCCGGTTGGGAATGCCCGAGGTTACGTGGACACTCAGGTCATCGTTATACTGACTGAAATGAGAAATCTGGGGGTCCCGCCCGAGGATAGAATCATCGTATGCAGTTCCCGGGTTGGCCATGTCTCGGAGAGCCGGGCCCCTGATGGCAACGGGGAACAGACTCTGGCCATTTAGCCAATCGGCCTCAGCCGCAGTCTGGTTGAAGTGCCATTGCTCGACCAACGCGGCAAAGACATCGGAGATGGACTCGTTCAGGCCTCCAGTCTGAAATTTGTAAGTGAACCCAGATGTATATTTGGTGACGGCGTGAGTCAGTTCGTGCGCCACGACATCAAGTGCATCGGTGAAATAGTCGAAGATGATGCCATCGCCATCGCCGAAAGCAAACTCGGTGCCGAAAAAGAAGGCGTTGTTGTAGCCAAGTTGGTCATCGGGTTTGCTGTCGAAGTGGACAGTAGCAACTATATTGCCGCCCTTGTCGTCGACGGAGTTGCGGCCAAACACCGTATAGAAGAACATGGCCGTGATGCCAATAGCATCATAGACATTGTTGACCTGTCTGTCAGTATTTCGCCCAGCACCTTCTGCGCGAGCAAGAGTGCCGCGAAGATTGCCGCTACCCTTTGCATCGTAAATAAGGCGCTTCAGTTGGAAAGGAGCAGCTAAATGATCATGGGGCTCGTCTGTCGCCGCAGGACCAATAAGAGCAGCTCTCTGTTCGCGTATCTTAGCATCTGTTTTCAATGTTGCCCTTGCACTTTCTCGAGCCTCATCGCCTGCCTCTTTGCTCTAGACGACGTGCTCGAAAACATAGGGTGTGACATAGCGTGATCTTACAATGGGGACTTGGGCTGCCAATACTCCAGGTTCGTCTGCAGCACAGGGTGCTGCAGCGGTCTCAGAGGCTGTCACACGCTGCCCACGAAAGTCCTGGTCGACGGAGAGGGTGCGCAGAGCAGCCTGCCGGGCTTTATCCGGAGCAGCGGCGGACTCAGCAATGTGCTTATGGATATAGGCGGGGACGAAGTGGCCAGTCTGCAGTAAGAGATCAGCATGGTGATCGACGACAAGCATCTAGGGGTCTCACAGCCCCAGACTCGTGGTTGTCGCACATGATGATTGATATGATATGGAGGCTATTTGTGACTAAAGGGTACAAGGTTAATTCTTGTGAGCAGGTCGTTAAAGATCTTGACCAACTCTAGTGGATCCAAAAACAAGAATTTACATTTGATTCTCACCGTGTACACAACATTTATATACCTTGACTAAGGACCACTCCTCAAAAGTTGCCCCGAAGAATGTTGGCAACACTTTGGTGATGACGCAGGGGTTGCGCTATCGCGTACACAGGCTTTTCGGTTCATAAGGCTAGACTACTTTGTAGATCTCACAAGGTGCAAAGATGGCGCTGAAAAAAGCCAGGTTTGTGGTAGATGGAATGGTCCATGTAAGGGCCGAACGGGACTTGGACTAAATGGTATGTTATCGCTCCATCATTCATCATCATTGTTTTCATCTCCCCAGATCTCGATAGGTCTTAGATCACTCACACGATTAATTCCATCTGATCCTCGTGATCCGTCACTACCTTATCACGTCATTTATTATTTCTGGCATCTTCTAACGTTAGATCTCGATTGGTTTCTGACTAGTTCATGTAACTTAATTAAAACCTGGCGAATTGATTGGGCTGACTGGGCCGAGCCAGAGATACCAAGCAGTCAAACTTAGGATGACGGCAACAATGTTGCTAATGTTCGCCAAGGTTGCAGATCATCTCTCTTAGAAAATGGTACGTAGTTATCTTATTGTAATCTATCACATTGCGCCAGATTATCAACTCATATTCTACCTATTCTATATGTGACCAGACGGACATATGGCGAAAGGCCTGTATTCACGAATACGATAGCAGAATTCGCGAAATGGTGATTCGTCGATATTTGCCATCAGAGCTCATTTGGATGGTGGCGCTGTTTCGTTATAGAACTCGAAGAAAAACGACGGTTTGGTTGCAGTGCTAGGATTGCGTCGTTAGAAAGTAAAAGAGGGATTTTCCATTTCGATTTTCCATTTCCATTTCCATTGCCGTTCTTAATTAATTAATTAATTGGCCTTCTCTCATCCTGCACAGTATGATTTATCCTTCTACGTCCTCATCCAATATACCATCACCTATCGACAGAATATTTAGCAGCAATGGCGGGACAGGTTATTCTCATCAGACACGGCCACGGTCTCCATAACGTTAACGACGACGTCAGCATTCCCGACCCGAGATTGACTCTTAGGGGTGAAAGACAGTCGGTGCAACTTGGCCAAAACATTGCACCCCTCGGCACTGATACAATTGGAACTATACTCACATCTCCCTTGAGGCGATCGATACATACTACGCTCTTGGCCTTCATTGATGTGATCGACGAAGGTTTCTATCTCAAAGGTGAAGGCGGTATAGTTGGGGGAGCAGATCTAGTCCTGGATCCGTACCTTCAAGAAGTTGGCGACCAGCCCTGCAATACCGGATCAGCCGTCGTAAACTTGAAAAATGAATGGCTGAATCTGGATTTCTCTACTCTTAAAGAAACCCCGTGGCCGCTTAAGAAAGACCTGTTTTCACCCGCTAATCGTAAGGCGAGGGCACAGAAAGTTCTAGGTGATGTAAAGAGGAGAATTGATGTGCTGGCGCAAGTACCAAGCAACATGAGAAAGGACGTTATTGTTGTTACACATGGCGGTTTTATTCAAGATTTGACAGACGATGAAAGTTTTAGCCTTGAGTTTGCTAGCTCAAAAGGCTGTACAATCATGAAGAAGCAAGGAGGACAGCTGATACTAAAGTAATGATAAAATTGAATACACTAAAAACTATGGAGCTACGGCATGCAGACTTAAAATAAGAGTTATAGTATACAAATTACTAGCTATAGATATGTTGAGGTTACGGCCAGCGATATGAAGTGGCGGCGAGCGCTGGCGAACGCCGTTTGCTCATCCCGAACCCTGAGGTTTACCTCAGGGTAGGTTCCGACGATTGGTAAGTTAGTCAAACTAATATTGTTGGCAAATCGTGCCGATAACATCCACCTTGGCTTTGACGTGATTAACATGATGACACCTAAAGCCATACATGCGTATATGAGTGTAGTTATATGAGCACTACGGGAGTATGTGAGTGTAGTACTCACATAACTATCTGAGTATAGTACTCGTGCTGCCTCCTATACTACCGTAGTATTTTTATAACTAATTTATTATTAAGAGAATGCAGAGATATTAAGCTGCGAATATATGATTTAAGTGTAAAATGGGGTGGACCGTTCGGTGTGTTGGATCGTTCGGTGTACAATGTACAAAAACGTTAGTTATCACCGCATATTAGCAATTTATTGCCAAGAAATATGGTCACCATGTGGACTACAACTTTTTAGATACAGATCCTCAATTCTCCTAGTCCTAATTATGAAGAGCAACGCAACACTACCGTCCATAACAAACCCACATTTCATATTTCCGATGTTATATAACGAGCGTAGATAAAACCAAAAGAAGAAAACCACAGTCTTGACGAAGGGGCTCTGTTCTAATTTAAACCATCAGACAGTTGCTCAGCGACGTTTGCAAAGGGTTAAACTCACCGAGGTGTCCGAACACCGCAATAAAGGGAGCGTCGATTAATGTTCATGATTAAACAAATGAGGCCCCTTTTGGTGGTAGAGGTTTGGTAACGCGTAAAGCAATGTATGGTTGTTGATTGTTTGGCAGATCGTGACTGCCAACTTTTGCACCCGCGAGCGTATACTCCATGTGGCGGTGGTAGGTGGCAAAGCCTCCCTTGATTCCTAGTCCATTGATATCTGTTTCTCCAGAACCCTTTCTCTTTATCAGGCCGTTTATAAAATTAGTCGCTTGCGCAAGAACTACCTCAGAAACATCACCCAGTCTCTGGGAAAACTTCGCCAACTGAGCCTGGACCTGCAGAGCAACCCATTCTCCTGTAGTTCCTGTAGGCAGCGAAATGATAAATGTAAGAAGGTCTCCTTCATTAATCAGGTCTCCCCAAATAACGTCCCAACCTCCTTCTGCAATTGCAGCTCGTACTTCATTGCGGTTTGTAACTTCTTCTTCTTTTGTTACACCTAGATTGGGAGTGGGAATGTGAATACCCCCAATGCGAAAACCCTCCGCGGTCTCCATGGTAAAAATTGAAAGAATTATGAATATATTCAACTGAGAGATTGAGGCAAGAAAGTGGCGTTAGTTAACATGTTTAAAAATCTTTGCCTAAATGGAGAACGGCTTGTTCTTATATACAAAGAGGAAGGGCTGAAGAGAGCACTTTTCGCCCCAATTAACGGCAATTACAAGCAACGACGTAAGAACTTTGATAGTGCAATACGTAATAGTAACGTTAGCGACTAGTCTCACCCAGCTGCTTGCCATTAGCTGAGAAGGCCGCTGACGCTTCTTCCTGCCATGTAATGAACGGCTCTTGTGCAAATATTTAGCTAGCTAATAGTATTAGGCCTCTTCGTAGTATCCTCAGTGTCAAATAATGTTTGGAGGAGATATGATCCACTATACAGGTCATCTGCATTTTCTAGGATAGAGACGTATGGATCATCATTTAGGATATTTTTCCTCAATATGTCAGTTGTAAAAGTCGTCACAAAACTACGTACGGAATAAGATCATATCGTCATAAGTGACCGTGAATCTTTTATTACTAGCAGGGTTGGAAATCGATCGACCAATCGATTTGATCGATTCGACTAGAAGATCAATTGCGATTCGATCGTATAGATTTGAGGTGCCTAGTCGATCGATACTTTTTGGACTAGACAACTTGGTCGATTGATTTGATCGCGACCGCAAGGGCCTCTAAAAAAAGAAGCACTGGCCAATTAGCGAGCGAACAGCTCCTGCCGTCAGTTACCAGATGCTGCCTGAGGCCGAAATACGGGTCGAAGCAGAGAGCTAAAAGGGATAAAATGCGACGCAATGGAGCGTCCAGTTCGTCCGGTACTCGTGTGCTGAGCCGGTTCAGTAAGCGTGCAGGTTGGTAATAGCTAAGTGCCGATGCCTCCGCTTCCACCCATTTGATCATTCCCTGAAGCAGTGCCCTACACAGGTCTGACTCTGCTTTTTTGAGAACTATATCTGATCAAATCGATCGATTTGATCGTCGATCGATCAAGGGTTTGAAATCGATCTATACGATCGATTTCCTGTCCTTTCTGCCTGGGTAATGAGGACCTCTTGCCATCTCAGAGGATGCAGCAATGGATGACGAAGTCCACGCTGGTCAATCATATTAACACGCACCTTACTCCTTATGCGGAATCGGAATGTCCGTACCCTATCTGCAACGCGCATCTTGAGTCTCCTTTAGATTTCAGAACTTATTTTGAAGACGTGCATTGTATTAAGGAACCACGTTCAAACTGTGTGTCTAGGAAACGAAAAAGCAACGATGATAAGCAAAAGGTGCAAGATACGAAAGGCAAGGCTTTAATCAATGTGAGTAAGAAGGTAAAGAATGAGAACGAGAAATATGTCATAAGATGAATAATATAAACTATTACTGTTCTCAAATTGCAACTTAAACTGTAGCTTAAGTTGTAGTTGTGGCTGCCAACTGTGGCTAAAGATGTTGCGAGGCGTAATTTGTTAATAACTACAAAGGATTAGTAATTATTAAGTGGAGGATAATTGGGTAGAGGGTAATTAGGTAGAGGATAATTAGGTAGAGGATAATTAGGTAGAGGACAATTAGGTGGAGGATAACTAGATAGATCATTAGGTGGAGGGTCATTAGGTAGAGGGTCAGTACCACAACCGCCATATCTGAAGCTGGCATAAAGATAATGGTATGCCACCAAAGGAGAGTAGCTGGAACCAATAGGGCTAGAATACGAGGAGCAATTTTTGCTGCATCTTCTAATGCATTAACATCATCTGACTCTGACTGAGAAGACTCGGCCGACTCTCCGCAAAGCCAGAATCCATAAAGACTGATTTGGGATAACAGCCAGCATAGATGGAGATTTAGATCTGTTGGAATGCGGCCTTTTGCTAAGGGAATGACGGTGCCTATCGCTAGCAGACTGAGAGATGCGAAGGCTTTCTTATTAATCTGTTGAAATCGAGATGTGGATTGCTCGACCTTCGGAAGTTGCAGATCAGGGCCACGAAAGCTGTGGATAGCGAATACCATGGGGTATAAGAGGGGAGCCTAGTTTTCCGGCCTCTGGTCAGCGATCGACGACCATGCTGGCTGAGGAGATGCATCCAGGAAACGGGGTATACTAACCACAGACCAATTCACGACCTTAACTGAGCTACTCAGACACAGCAATGCGACGCACAAGGCAATCGCATTCCAATTAGTCGCGCTTGTGGACCTGGGCGACGATGGCGATCTAGTCGCGCCGCGGTTGAAGAGTGCATAAGCCCGACTCGAGACGTATATTAAAGACCAGCAGAGAACTTCGGCAAAGATTTCCTGGCGATGCGGCGTGGTCACTAGATACAGCGTTGAGGCCAGCAGGACAACGGTGGCGACCAAGACCGACATCTTGACATGAAGCTTCCGTAGCTAGGGACAGAGTTCCTCGGTCTGGACAGCAAACTTAAAATACATAGTTGGGTCGGGCTTTGGTTTTGAGAGTTCAGGAACGGGGCCTTGGCTCCAATAACAACTCACACTCTCGGCACGAGCGTGCGGTGGAACCCTGCGGCATTAAGCGCCCGACGCATCGCGCGACGTTAGTTATATTTACCCGGGTGCGACTGTTTACCTGGGCGTAACTACTTACCAGGGTTTACGTAACTATTTACCTCATTGCTTACAACTGGCACGCTACTCCAAGGCATTCTAAGACGTCATCGAGATTTATAATCGTAGGCCGTGGCAAACCAGCGTGGTCCCGAATGCCTGGTACTGCCGGTAGGAGCAGCATCCATGCGGATGTGATAAGTAGGCCAAGGCGGGGATCTCCGCCGACTTCTTGGCTCTACGGATATTCCCAATACATACCACTATTGATAGAAGAAGTTTGACTTAGTAATTTATTAAATATTCTCTAAACAAACACCTATCTATCCTGTTTGTGATTTTGGGTCACTGTATTTAATTTTTCGCTAAGCATCTGAATCAGTACGGGTGCTTCCTCCGTGAAAGTGTTGTATTTAGTAATGGCGGCCATTATCTTATTCATCTTATCCTCGGTGGCAGCCCGCTCAGCACGTAGTATTCCAATCTCTTCTAATACAAGGCTTGCTATAGTGTTAACTTGTCTCTCTGTGAACGTGGTGTACCAAGATAAGCCCATACCTGATTGCAGCGCGGTTCTCCAAATGGTTATCCTCTTTGGTTCCGAAGGAGTCCTCTTGGGACATGTAAACCTGGGTTTGCACATCAGGCGTGTGCGGCTCGTTTGCTTCGTTGGTGAGCTGGTCAGTCAGATCATCTGGGGCCAGATCATCTAGGTCTGCTTGAACGAAAGCATCTCTAACGGCGATTGACGGGCGGTTTAGCCTTGTAGGCTCGATAGCATCGTGGG